TGTGGCTTGTCCCTCTCCTGGGCTGCAGGCGCAGGCATAGCCGCTGGCACCCTGGACCGTGGGGTGGGCAGCTTGTCCTTCTCCCGGGCCGCAGCCTGGCTGGTCCCCATTCCTCTCTCACGAGCTCATTTGTGCCTGGCTGGTCCCCATTCCTCTCTCCCCAGTGATGAATGTCTGAGCCATTACCACGTGACAGCATGAGGGCGTGATGACCATTTGCATATTAGCTCTTTATTATATAGGATTACTTTCCATGCAAACAAATATAAACCTACTTTTGCCCACCCTGTATAATATGAATGCGTTTATATGAAATCCCAAAACAGGCAAAGCTAATCTATAATGAAATAATCAGCATCAGTGGTTATCTAGAGTAGGGAGTGGGGTAGAAACTAACTGCAGAAAGGTACTGAGGAAATTTTCTCTCAGCTCCCTATTGGTTGCCTTCATAGCTCTCACCACACCCTGTTACTTATTTTACCTTTTTATTATTTATCTACTCTACAAGATAAATCATTAACTCCATAAGGGCAAGGGCACTATCTTTTACACTGTTAGATCCTCATTGTTTAGTAGCTGCTGTTACTATGAAGTTCAGTAACTTGTGAAATGAACAAACCTCCTCTACTTACCTCACCTGAACATATGTGAAAGGAAATAAAATATAAATCCATACAGACATATATTATTAAGAACAGTCTGAAAGAATCAAAGTGTCAGAAGGCCCATTTGCATTACTAGGGATCATTCCAAGGGACACCTAACTGCGCTCTAACTTTACAGGTGTGCAAATGAATTTGATCATCTGATTTCTCAGAAAATAGTCAAGTACAATCAGTCCTCTGTATCTCTGGGTTCCACATCCATGGATTTAATCAATCTTGAATCAAAAATACTCTTTTTTAAAAATATTACATTGTTGCTGATGTTTACTACATAGTTAGGCCTACCATGGTTGTGTCTGTACTGAACATGTACATACTTTTTCTCTTATCAGTATTTACTTAACAATACAGTATAACAACTATTTACATAGCATTTACATTATATTAGGTATTATAAGTAATCTAGAGTTACTTAAAGTATATGGAAGAATGTAGGTAGGTTATATGCAAATACTACACCACTTTACATAAAGGATTTGAGAATCCAAGGACTTGGGTATCCGAAGGGGGTCCTGGAATCAAGCCCCTGCACATACCAAGGGAAGACTGTAGTAGGAAGGACGAATGTGAAGGAAGGTGCTGACAAGTCTGAGATATGCAACAGATGCAAAAAAGAAACATATCTTCACCCAAGACCTAGAACTAAGCTACTCTAAGAGCCTTGGGTCATTTAATATGAGGGAAAGAATCCCACATTCTCCTTTGCATCTAAAAGGTATTAACTTCCTGAATTAAGAAGACAGTTTTAAATATATCACTTAACTATTTTAACCAAAAATTATTACCATCATAAATGTGTTAAAAGTTAGAGCAAATCTATTTATTAACTCAAACTAACATTTTAACCTTGCAATCAGGGAGCTTGTCTATGTAAAATATCTTCATAACCTGAAAAATTCAGTCACAAAATACAGTCAAACCTCAATTCTCGAACATCTCCCATCTCAAACAATTTGCTTCTCAACCTGACAACCCTTTCATGCTGATAGCTATATGATGTCACAAGGCTCTCAGGCAACAAACAAAGGAGAGAATGTGTGAGTATGAGTCAGTTTACTACTGTTAAAATCTCAGAATACTGTGCTGTGAATATTTTCAGGTTATTTTTTTGCTTTTGTTGCTGCTTATTATTAAATTTTAATTTTTATTGTACATTTCCTTTCCTTTTTGTTCAATTTTCACTTATATTTCAGGTCCTTTTTGTTTTTAAAGTGTTTATTTATACACTAGAGGCCCGGTGCACGAAATTTGTGCACTCGCAGGGGTCCCTCAGCCCGGCCTGTGCCCTCTCGCAGTCCAGGAGCCCTTGGGGGATGTCCGACTGTTGACTTAGGCCCGCTCCCCCCGGAGGAGTGGGCCTGAGCCAGCAGTCAGACATTCTTAGCGCTGCTACGGAGGTGGGAATGCTACCACTGCTGCACTCACCAGCCGTGAGCCCAGCTCAGGGCTTCTGGCTGAGCAGCACTCCCGCTGTGGGAGCGCACTGACCACCAGGAGGCAGCTCCTGCATTGAGTGTCTGCCCCCTGGTGATCAGTTTGTGTCACAGCGACTGGTCGTTCCACCGTTTGGTCAATTTGCATATTAGCCTTTTATTATATAGAATCAGACAGTACATTAGACATGTACTACATATATATATATATACTAGAGGCCTGGTGCACAAAAATTTGTGCACCCGGGGGGGGGGGTCCCCCACCCCCCCCTGGCCCCC